TCAAAGACTATCCAGGGAGAGTGCTAGTACCCTCTCCCCACCAGTATCTCTTCTCCATTTTTCTCCAATATTTTTTTTCACTTTAAATGCATTATTTCAGATAATCACATTGCACACATTAAAACTCACTCTGTATCTCCATGCTCATTAAATTAGAGTTGACATAGAGATTATCTCACATTCCAACTTGGATGGATTGAAAGTGTCTGCTTAGAGCTCCAAAATGAGCAGACTTCTGAGGTCATACCGGGTTCAATTGACTGAATTAGCAAAGTCAGGTTATAGGAGGGCCAACAATTGTATTATTAGTGACCAGGTTTTATTGGTCACCACTAGTTCAGGCTATGCAATCCCTAGAAACTCAGTATGAATGTATCTGGCGACTTTCCCAGCTTTTAAAAGAAGGTGAGAAAGAAGAGCAGGGATAATTCTGAAGCCAGAGCCAGGACGACCGTATAACTTATCTTGCATACCAGAGCCTGTCAGAGAGCAAAGGGACATCTATTAGTGAAATGCCAGGAAAATATACGTAAACCCTCACTGTGGTTAGTGGAGTTTTCATAGCTGTGACCAAAATAAGCAACAAGAACAACGTAGAGGAGTTATTTTGGCTCACAGTTCATAAGTTGTGTTCATGGTGGACCAAATCTGTTATTCTGGGCCAGAGGTGTGGCAGAACATCATGGTGAAAGGGCGTGGTAGAGGAAAGCTGTTTAGCTCAGGACTGCGGGGCAGCAGAGAGAGGAGAGGGAAGGGGTGTCAGGGAAGATGAACCCTTAGGGAATGTCCTCAGTGACCTACCTCCTCCAGCAGGGCCCTACCTAGTAACCACCCAGTCAGTCCATTCCACTAGGATAGACTGATTAGGTTACAGCTCTCACAATTCAATCATTTCATCTCTGAACATTCCCATGTTAGCAAATGAGCTTTTGGAGAACACCTCATCTACAAACTATAACAGGCAGTCTCCCAATTTCAAAAACATGTATCAAGTAGCTCATTTTTCAAATAAGTCCAACAAATTCTTTGTCCTGACACTATGGCTTTTTCATAGTTGGGGCTTCCATCGACCACATTCCCTCCTCTGCAAAGAGAAACCTAAGTAATTGTGCTTGGGTAGGACTCCCAGAACCTTAGAGATTCATTATGAAACACAGAAAAGAAATTGATTTGCAGCTTTGCAAAGGCCAATAATCCAACTAATGCATTACCCTCTGGACCCTTGATTTAGTTCCTCTTCCAGTTAATTTAGCAATATGTTAATTCTGATGAGAAGGCTTGATTAGGAAGGAGATGAAGCTATCACTTTAGATGAGTTTGGAAATTACCAATAAATTTCAATTTTTCACATTACTCCGAGTGAAGGGTGACTGACTGTTAAGAGTAGTGATTCCGCTGTGTGGCCCGCTGCTTCTGAGATATAACTGTCCTTCTTTTCAGCTTCTTTTGTACAGAACAAGCATTACAGGTGCATTTCTGTGTATACAGATCTTCACTTCCTTAGTGCTATTATCTTGTTAATCTGTGATTAACAAGATTAAAAATATGGACAAAGGGCTATTGAAATTAATTTGCTGTAATATGTAGTAATAAAATAACTAATGAAGAAATGGAATCATTCGATATTCAGTGTCTTGCTACCAAGGGACTATGTTCTGGTTACCAAGAAGGACAAATCATTGGCAAGTTACTGTTTTGAAGGAGAGGTGAACAATTACAGCCCTCATGACATGTGACCCATGGCAAATTAGTACTAAATAGTCTTTTAAATGAAATTATTATGTCAGCTTCAGAGATTATTTGAAATAAAAGGAAGGTATTATGAATATTTTAAAAATTATCAGACATAAAGGTGTAAAGATCTTCATGGCATTAATTTGTAGCAGTCGTTTATAAATTTGGTTGGATGTCTTGTTCACCCATTGAAATCCTGGCCATCCTTCAGAGCCTAAATTATAACCCACTTTCCTGCCCCTGTCTAAGGTCTCTTTGGCTCTTAGCTTTCAATGATTATTAATTCATACTATTTTGAGATATTACTGTAGAGTCATGTTACATAATTATTAAGCTTATGAATTACAGTTTCACTTTTCACCAAGGAAGCCAGTATTATCTACCAAACCAGATTGTGAATTGGTCAGGTTTGGGAGCAATTTATGATCTATCCTGGTATGTTCCTTCAAGATCTAACAGGGTTTTGAATTTATGTAGGTTGAACTTTATGAAGTTGCCTAAATTGGATCATTTTTGATCTACAAAGAAAGCAATTTCTTATGGAGTAATAGTTGTTCCAGAAATAAATGTGAATGAGTGGGGTTATATTTAAAATTATAAATTCTAATTTGAAAAATAGATTGACTGTATGTGTGTACATAGAAATAGACATATGCCTATCTAATATACACATATACATATCATGAAGTATGTATTTACAGAGTGTGTGCATATATGTAAATATGAAGTAATTTAAAACTGATGATTGAGTTTTGGTTTTAATTGAGGAGATAAGGCATTCAGCTACAAAAACTCTGTTCAGGAGCTTCTAGACATATTTTTTTTTCTTTTAAAAGAAACAGATATAACCACTATTATTCTGGGAAAATAACTGTAATGGAGATAACATTATAAATCACTTGCTTTGTCATTGTGGTGATACCTATATCAATTTTTTATGTGGGATTGCACACTTGTTGATAAAATTATTCTGTAGAATTATATTAGTATGAAGTAATCTTTCTTTTGAGAGTTTATAATAAGCTTACACTGTTCTAAACATGTCAGATCTATTAACTCAATGAATTCTCTCCTCCATCCTGCAAAGTATGTGATATAATTATCTTCATTTTTAAGATGAGAAAACTAAGGCAAGAAGAGGGAAAGTCATTTGCTGAAGCTCAGACAACAGGTAATGATTTAGCATGTTGTCAAATGCAGAGGTCTGGCTTCAATCATTTACAATACCATACAGAATCAGTAAGCTATATTGACCTTAAAAATTAGAATGAATTAAAAATCCTTTATTTTCCAAGATGCACAGAATCTGGTGAATACTTGATAATTTGAAGTTATAGAATTGAGAAAATATACCTAAGGCTTGGAAAACTGCAGTTTTAGGTCTCTTATAAGAAAGCCAAAATCATTTTGAAATAGAGTGCATCAGTTTTCAGTATTAAAAACTGGAATTGATAGCATTGACTCTTGATTAGGTAATTTATAAGAGAAGAAAGAATAATAGATCATATATAACACAGATGATTAAGAGCTCTTAATTAATTAGACAGGCTTATTTATTTTTTGTTTGGTACAAATGAATGCATATGTTATGGTTTGGATCTTAAATGGGCCCCAAAGGCCATGTGTTGGAGTCTTGGTCACAAGTCTGTGGTGCTATTGGGAGGTGGTGGAGCTCTCAGCGGGGCCTAGTGGAAGGAACTTATGTCTTGGTGGATGAGGAAGGGGCCATTGGGACTCCAACCCCACCCCCTACCTCTGTTTCTCTGTTTCTCTCTTTGTCTATCTCTGCTTCCTGGTTACCCTGAGGTGAGAAGCCTCCTCCACCATGACTCCTGCATATTGGTGTATCTCATCAGATGCACAAAAGCAACAGAGCCAAGTGACCATGGATGGAAACCTCTGAAATTGTGAGCCAAAATAAGTCTTTCCTTCTTTTAAGTTATTTATCTTAGGTATTTGTTACAGCTATGGAAAACTGACTAATACAGTCTGCAAATAGTTTTTTAATGCTACTTTCTAATATGATCATATGTTTCCTAGTGCAGATATTTATTAATTTCTTAATACTTTAAAACAAGGAAGTCATACAAGCAGAGATGAATAATATTTCTTAACTGGGCATAATAGTCAACAAATTGATACATACATAATATGTGTGATAGATGTACACATATGCATGTATATAATGTATATTACATACAAAAATGTAATATGCACATATATAATATATAATAATTTATCAACTGAATTTGTCTTTATTTACATTAACAAGATTTTTAAATTAAAATATCTTTCCAATAAATGAAGTAATCTAGTGTGATTTCATTTAATTCTGAATGAGAGGAAGCATTCTCTCCTGGGAATCAGCATCAAATAGTAACAGAAACACTAGGGGGGGCAATCAGGATCTTGAGTTTTTTGGATTGTTTCTGAATCTTAGTGGACTGGCTAGAAATGTGAGGTACTTGAAATAGATGATGTTTGTCATTCAAGTGACAAATTTCTATAAGTATCTTTTAAATTTTATTTGTTTATTATGTTTTCCTTAGTGTATTATGGTTATACGTAACATTGGTGTTCACTTTGACATAATCATACAAGCACAGAAGATAATTTGCTTGATTGTTTGATATCTCTGAAGTTTGTATTCCAGGCAATACAATTCTGCTTATTTATTTATTTTGTAGTTGTAGATGGACAGCATGCCTTTATTTTATTTATTTTTGTATGCGGTGCTATGGATGGAACCCAGTGCCTCACACATGTGAGGCAACTGCTCTGACACTGAGCCCCAGCCCCAGCCCACAATTCTGCTTCTTCAGTAAGATAAGTTAAGCATACCCTGCTTTTAAAGAAAACATCAAAAGGAAAACAGCTATGACATTTTCGTAAATACAAACTTGTGAGTTCAATACAATAAATTAAGTCATTCAAACCTGTGAAGACTCCTCCTGCCCCAAGGAGACCCAAGAAGCTGTTATCCATGCATAAACTGGGAAAAGGTACCTTGGGAAGAGGTGTGACGAAGGGGTATGGCAATGCAGGTTTATAATTTTCAAGTTATACTTTTGTGAATTGATTGTTTTGGTCAATTCCATGAATTACATTTTTTTAAGTGTCCTCAGGGATTATTTGGGAAAACAAACCATGGGTCGTTTTGTTGTTTGCTTTGGTTGCTTAGACTTTAGTAAAAGTACTTGAAGGGTCAAGCCCCAATAGCATTCAGGTTCAACTCCTGAGAAGGAAGTGGAGTTGGGCAAGGTTACCTTCTTACAGGCTGTGATGGAGCCACCCAGGCTGCTTCCCAGGCTGCCGCTGCCGCTGCCCTGCTGCGCCTCCGACACTTCATACATCAGTGTTGACTCCGAGTTGCTGTTTGTGTCACAAACACAAAAGAGAACACATTCCAGTGAGTCATCTGTTTAGAAATGCAGAATGAATGAGGCATGATACAATTTATCAAAAATCATCTTTTCTGATTGCATTCAGTACTGCCAGTCCTGCTGCTGAAACTGACATTTCTTTATTGGGCACATTTCTGGGCTAGGCTGGCGCGAATACAAAACTGCAGCCCAAGGCCTTCCACAATGCTTACACGGACACAATCGCATCTGTCCAACTTGCAGTAGTGTTAGCAGCTTTTCTTAAGCATGCAGTTTTAAAACTCAAATAAAGTCTTTTCATGTGTCACTTTAATTTAGCTCTTCTAGTACCAACATGACAAAAAAAAAAAAACAAACAAATAAACAAAAAAAAAAAAACCACTCATTTAAAAAAAAATAAGGGTAAGATGTAATTTTCAATGGGATGCTGAATGGTACCATGAAAGGAGTGTGGACTACAACAAACACAGCCCATCCCTTGACCATCTCTGTGGCTGGAGACTGTCCCTTGAGACTCATACTCCTTCCCCCACACCTATACTCCTTTCCCTGCCACAGTCAACTTTTAGTGGGTTTGACTATGCATAGTATTGCACAAAAATATCAGACTAAAATTTATTTCTACATCTTCGAGATGTGTAAAAGATTAAAATTAATAACAAATCTGTTTTTCATAACATGCCAAGAAATTGAAAATTAAGCCTCATTTTAATACAAAAAGCTCTCTGAGTCATTTAAGACTTCTAATTATTTTCTTCTTTTGAAAATAACACAATTTGGAATTTAAAATGTACTGATATCTCAAGCCATATTGTTGACCACATAGAACATGTAGAATTCATTAAAATACATTTTTGCAATATAATTGAATAGTTCTATAGGTAATTTTCAACCCAAGATGTAGACTTTTTTCCCTCTTGAAATGGATCAGTTAAATAAATAGTATATTTCAACTAACATCTGACTCTCATGTTTCCAGCTCTGAATGAGTCAGTTTTTATCACACTGTGCACCAGTGTAGTCTGTTGAAATTTCTGTTATTAAGTAGTATGAATGACACTTTTAAAATGACTGCTGATGGTGCTGTGGAACAAATCATAGAGTCAGGCAAAAATGCATAGTAGAAATGAGGAAAAATGTATTTTGTTTAAAATTTTCATGTATTATTTTCAAGCAATTGTCACCCTGTGGACTAGAATATATCTAAAGTAGATGAACAGATCACACCCACATCATCCTTGCTAAGGTGGGTGAAAAGGAAAAGAAGAAGGAGAGGTAGAGGGAGAGAAAGCATGAGAGGGAAGAAGGAGATGATGATGGAGAGGAGGGATGGAGGAGGAAGAAGAAAAGAGGAAGGGAAAGAGAGAGGACTTTGGATTATTTTTTCTGGTTCTTGATCTCTAGCTGCTATGTACCTAGCCTTTTGAGGCTCAATCTCTTCATTATAAATGACACATGTAAACTGAAATCTGTATTTCTTTCCTAAATCTGGAAGTCACTTGCAAAATGTACTAAAGCACTGAGTTTTCAGTCCCTGTAATTTCAGGGCTCCCACAATGTGGGGTCCATGACCTTTCCAGCAGCTATTTAAGTGTGACTACAGCTCAAAACCAACTGCAGATGTCCCACCAAGCAGATATCAATATGAGGTTTCAAATTACTAACATGTGGAGGATAGGACTGCAGACTAGACTAATTTGGCGCATGATAACTAGGCTTTCGAGTCAAGGAAAGAATTTATGTTCCTTTTAGGAGTCAGTCAAGCCCCATGGGCAGGAACTCAGGCAGTCAGCTCTGGCTCTTGTTGCTATTGTGTTCCCAGGCACATCTGGTGAGCTAGTGGGTCACTTCTATCCAGAGTTAGGACATTTCTGATGTTTTTTTTTTTTTTTTTTTTTTACAGGGCTAGCAACCCTGGAGTAGGGCACAGGCAAGCTAACAAGTCATGTTTGGGAAGATTGTAGGTTGCTCATCCCTGATCCCATACAGCAGACACAGCACTTCAGCAATCTCTAACTTCTCTGGAGGGGAATCACATTTGACCTAGGCAGAGTTGGTTAGGTCCCAATTCAGTGGATAATGTAAACTTAAAGAAAAGTAGAAGATCAGTCTTGAAAATTACTTAGTTGCCCACTTTGTGACTTTAGATGGAGCACGAGATATATTACTTGTCACCCACCCAAAAGTTGAAGAACTGCTGAACTTATCTAGTAGAAGGAAGAAATGCCAGTTCTACCCACAGAATCCCCCTGTATTACCAACTGGGAGACTCTAGTTGGAAATGAAGGTGCAGATAGGAGTGTGAAAGTTCTGTTGCTTTCTGCAGGGCTCGCTCCATTTATTCCAAATCTAGGCCTGTATAACTTCAATAGATAAACAAAACAATGTATATCCACACTTACCTATTTGCTGTGAGAATTAAATGGGGAAGCAGAGTCACATGACAAGACTAAAATCGGTGTGCTACTTAATGACAAGCCTTCTGCAGCACCACTGCACCAGCATGGAGGGCAAAGGCTTCTTCTCATTTCCAGAAACATTATCTGTCACTTTCCTGATGTTTAGTGCCCTAAAATATGTACAGAGGCTTTTATCTTAAATCATGCTATAGATGTGGAATTTCAAGAGGTGACCTTACAACCTGGCCCAATGATGGAAATGAAAGTTGAGAGTTTTTGCAGAGAAGCTGTCCCTGGTCTCCAGAGAGGTAGAAAGTTCCCTACTCTAGGATGAGGCAGAGTTGTTGGTGACAGGGAAATCAAGCATTTATTAAAATGAACTCAAACTGACATTAAAAGAACGGCAATCAAGATGCAGTACAGCCCTATAACTTGCTACTAATGGGTAAGGAAGCAAATTCTTCCTTAGGACACATTCCTTTGATTTTCACAAGAGTTGACAATATTTACTAAGCACATCCTTTCAGACTCCCTTCATGCTGCAACTGTTAAATGTGTTTCAGCAAGAAGGTAGGTAAAGAGGAGAAGACGACACAAAGGCAGCCCATGAAGTAGTGACTTTAAACCAGTCTTCTATAAAACAGCCTCCCTTATTGAAAAAATGTCATATCTGAATAGAGGAAGTGCTGAGGTGCCACTGTACTGCCCCATCAATAATTCATGCAGGTGAATAAGCAGGTCACTTGCAACAGTGAAGATGGTTCAGGGAGCTTTCAGATTTCCCCAGAGACAGAAGTGCCCAGTAACTGGAAACTGGGTCATTTAAATATCACTACTCAAAATCAAAACTTGTCCCATGAACCAGCATCAGTGGTATTGCTTAGGAGCTCATGACTCAGGTCATTCCCCAAAACTACTGAATCAGAATGTGCATTTTTATATTAAACTCAGGTGATTTATATGGCCACTAAAGTTTGAGAGTCACTTATATGACACATTGAATTGAATGCACATTCTTATTTGCTCTTGGGCCTTTGTTCAAGTTGTTAGTTCTTTTAGGGACATTGTTCCTCCTCCTCCACCTTCCTCTTTGATAATTCCTGCTCTATCCTTTGGGTCTCAGATAATGACTTCTGGTGCCTCTTTCCTCCCCAGTCCCTGTCAAGGTGACTTCTGCTCCTCTTCAATGTACCACCAAAGCCCTGTGCACATGCAAATACATCCCCACTCCACCTCTTTCCAGCCCTCCCCAACCCAAGAAATGAAATAAGTGCTGTCCTTGTATGTTTCAGCAGCAGCCAGAGCCACATGTCCTGTTACAGCATCAGTCAAAAAGCACAAAGATTTGTAGTATTTGTCTCTCCCTTTAGGCTATAAATTCTAGAAGCACAGGGATGCTTTAGGACCTAGGATAGTGCTGTGCAATGATAGATAATCAAAAAACATCTATTAAGGTTTTTATTTTTCTATCTTTCTGAGCATCCTGCTTAACCGCAAAAGATCAGGCACAAACAAGTGTCTGAATCCAATGCTTAATTTGCTGCAGTGTGACAGATGGTGAGATAAGCTGTGGCCTGAGATGATAATTTAAAGAATTTACCAGGAGAGTTCTAATGAAAAAGGATCCTGCTGTTATTATTGCTAAAATGTCAAGTAAACACAGGGTGAAGTTAAACAATTTTAATAGGTTCTTAAAGACAAGCTTCACTCTTATCTTCTCACCCTTAAAGAGTGCTTCTGGTGAAATGTAGTGATTATCTTCCATTTGATTGTCTCAATCCTATCAAGGGTATCTGCCCTTGAGCTTCATACCAAATCTCTTAATCTCAACACTGGAAAAAATTAAAACGCAGATCTGTCTATCAGAAGACATCTTGAACAAAGAATTGAGATATCTTATTAAAATCAATTTCGTAATATACTACAAACAAGAACTTAGAGTATTTTAAAATATGCCTTTGCACAGTTCAAGATGAAATCTTGCTCCAGGGAACGTCTTTATTTTACCCTCATCCAAAGGGATTTACCTGTTAGGTGGAGCTCAGGGGCTTCGGTCCATCTTTCAAAGACTGATTTGTTTTAAAATTCTCATGATGTGTTAGTATCTCCTGTCTTCATGGACTGCCCAGTCTGGGACAGACTCCTGCCTAGACCAAGTTTTAGTTGAGCTCCTGTTAGTTCTCTTCTCAGTTACTCCTGCAATTTGGTCTGCTGAGCCCATTCATCAGTGAATCCTGCTAAGTCAGTTAGCAACTTCCTCATCCCCTGCCCTTGATAGTTTAGTCCTTGGCCTGTCATTAGCAAGAATCTGTTAAGCCCAGATTCCCCCTCCTTACTATCTCCTTTTAGTGATTTTTTTAAATCTGCTGACCCTCTCAGTCTGCCTGTAGGCTGTAAAGCCCACTTGCCCATGTTCTGTGGAGTGGAGCTTAGTTCTACACTGATGTCTGTCTCTCTGTCATAGGAGCTTGCATGAAATCTGTCTTGTCATTGTTAACAAGATCTGGTGCAAAATTTTGATTTTTACACTGTGTACTTTTCTGGTTTCAAATATCTCCCAGGCAAGAAGTTTATATGTCCTTTACTTTTA